CCCCAAAACCCCAAAACCCCAAAACCCCTTTTTAATATATTAATTGACAATATTGCAATGGCAAAAGAATGGAAAGACAAACAGTTAGTGGTTAAGGGCTACTTTATGCAAAGTAAATTGGGATGGTATAGGGTTAAAATTTGGAATTAGCTTCTAATTCGGTGTTTGAAGCGAGTTTTGGGGTTGGGGAGTCTGGAGGTGTTTTAGGGGGTGAAATTTAGTTTAGAGAAAGAGGAGGATGGATTGGAGGAAGAGAATGGGATTGGTTTTGGATTTACTTTGAAAAATGTGGTTTAAGGTTTTTGAGAGGTTTGGGGAAGTTATAATGGGCATGAAATTGTAAGGATGAATTTTTTAAAGAACGAGAGTTGTTAAGATTGATACATATTGTGCATTTTATTTAGGTTTTAGCAAATTTTTATTTAGCTAGAAATAAATTTATGCAGAAAAAGCTCTCAAGTAGCCTCAAGAAGTAAGAATGTATTCTAAAAATACTAGCACATGCATAATCACCAAACAGTTCAATAAAGGAGCAAGATCACAAATAATGAGTATCCACAAAGGAAATAGGAACATTAAGTTTACTGTAATACCTTTTTAATTTTTAGGAGAGTGATTCTCTCAAATAAGGGAGCAAATGTATTGGCAACATATCTTAGAAACCGCTCTCAGCATTCCAGGGGCAACATTGTAGAAGATTTTAAACAATTTGTCAGGAGTTTAAAAAGCAAAAAGGTGAAATAAGAGGAAGAAGAACGTTCAGCTAGCCTCAAAGAAAAAACTTAATAACACTTTCGAATGAACGCAGCCTTTAAGAATTGTAAATCCTCCCAGAATTCGTATTGAGAAAATCCAGAGTAAGCAGAGGTGGAGTTATGTAGTAGTTATTGGAAATTAATGATGACGCTTAAAATATTCATATATCTCTCATAAAGACATCACTATGATAAATCTTTGTAAATTCTCTTTTTGGCTCACTTCTATATCTTCCAAGTTTGACCTTTGGTACAATGAAATAACGCAATTTTCCCGATATACCCATACAAAGAAGTCATTCAATATTTCCAATTTTGTACTATTAATTTCTATAGATCCAAAACCAACACTAGATAAAAGATCTGGATCTACAGACAACCAACTGGAGGGTCCCTCTTTACTATCCCAGGACTTCACTCATAGTAAAGTCAAAAGAGGATTGGGCAATAATGACAGGTAAAAACTCCTCAATCCAATCTGCACTAATACCTTTGCCCCAATATTTAACCAAAAATTGTTCTAGAATTGACCTTCTTCTAGTTGGTTTGACTTAAGCATGTCAATTTGACAAGAGTAGAATTCTCTAAATTGAATGGCTCCATATAGAATCATCCTATAGTTCAGTCATTTGTGGCTAGCTAAATGCTCCTCTTCAAAGAGGTAAACCTCTTTGAAGAGGAGCTTGATAGATTGCACCCTCAATTTGCTTAACATTTAGATAATTTTTGAGTAGATTCATTTTTACTACAAAATATTTCTGTTTAAAATCTAAGATAAAATTTTGGCTTGGAAATTCTCTGAATGAGCTTTAGTTTCAGTCTGAAATATTGCTTACTCAATGGATGCATTGCATTTATGAGCGAGAGTTTTAGGCTATTGTGTAAATTTTTAATGCAAAATTTTAAAAATTTTGAAATAGAGAAAATTGCAATTTAAAGAAAAATACTAATTTAAAATATCAATTTAGAATTATCCTCTTCAACCCACCGAACATTCTTTCAAAAAGCACTACTGAACACTTTCTATTTCCGAAAGAAACTCTAGGTGTGAAGCCAGTTATTCAGAATACCACGAAGCCTCTTCTTCGTGGTAGAAAAAGCAACAAGGGTTTCTCTCGAAATGCTAATTTCACACCAATTAAAAACAACTCTAAAGGAGATATGTTTTCTTCTTTCTTGAAGCAGAGGTAAGTCTACCAAACTTATCTTTTTCTAGCAAGACTTCTGTCCATGCTAATTGGAATCTGAAAAGAGCAGATCAGCAATTTTAGTAAAACCAAAAAGTTTTTAGACTTCTCAGAGTCTACGAAGATCGATCCCAGTTTTCCCCTGGAAAAATACTCACATAGCATGGTCGGGATGCCTGCATCTCGGCCCGACCTGAAACATTACACTCATTACAAACGTGATTGGATTCCTCAAGACTTGGAAAGGATAAATTCCTTTGCTGAGAGCATTTTTCAGCTGAGAAAAATTCATTAACCTTACATCCAATTAGGAAGGTATTCATCGAAGACAATTTAAAAAAAAATTCAATAGGAGATGTGCCTAAAGGGGTTTTGGGGTTTTGGGGTTTTGGGGTTTTGGGG